CGCAAATGTTTTTTTCAACTCATCGTCGACAAATTCCAATTTTTCGCAGGCAATATATTCATCGACCTACTTTACGCGCTCTGCTAATTTAATTGTACTTTTGTATTTACCTCATATTGATTGCTATTGTAATGGACAAGAGAGATCCTGAATGTGTTTCATATTAACCCAGATAAGCCTACTGTCCTACATATAGGTCGGTAAGATTAAAAAAATATATCTCTCTACCCACTTATATGGTTTTTATTAGTTATAACAATTCGTAACAAGGAATCTTATTAATATTGTAGTAAAAATTGAAAAACGCTAGTTGTATGTTTTTTTCTGAAATATTTCATCTAAAAGTGTACAATAATAGTAAGTTGCAGATATGTCTCATAAAAGGTACGTACAAAATATTATAATTCACATTGAGATTTCATTTTACAAAGTTTTTATATAGTATAGAACCTTTTGTTTCGTATCAAAATTATCGATTGATTGATGTTTGGTGAATAGTGGAAATAAATCGTCATAAAAGGGGGTGGTCTAAATATAGGACAGTAGGCTAATACGGAAAATAATTTCTTTGCAGACCATTAGCAGCGCATGAGATATTAGATGCTTTAGAAAACATCGATGATGATGATGAAGATTACAGAGACAGGGAAATATATATTCTACCACCCCCCGTTGATCCCGACTGCCCTACTGATGAAGATTCGGGGGAAGAGGATAATGTGACGCTAAATAACTTGCCCAGAAACATATTACTTCAGCCTGCAGAAGTGTCTGTTCGAGGCGAAAAGCATATTTGTGATACTGTGCAAGAACCTGTTATAAGTCAGACTAACCGCAGGAGGACTTACGTATGGAGAAAGCAAGATCTAAAAACATGTGCGCTGGAGTGGCCCCAGGTTCAATGTGCTTTCCAAGATAAACGTCCTATTGAGTGGTTCGGAAACTTTATAGATGAAGATGTGATTTCCTTGTTGGTATCAGAGAGTAACATGTACGCCGTCAAAAAGAATATGCCAGGGGATATAACCGCTAATGAAATGAAATGTTTTATTGGCATTTTGTTGGTCAGTGGTTACGCATGGCTCCCGCGACGAAGAATGTATTGGGAAAACTCTCCTGATACAAAAAATGAGTTGATCGGCTCAGCTATGACTAGGGATAGATTCGATTTTATTTTTCGCCACCTACATGTAAATGATAACCTCGATCTGCAAGACAAATACACAAAAACACGCCCACTTATAACAATGCTGAATAAAAAGTTTTTGGAATTCTCTCCTCTCGATGAACACTACAGCGTAGATGAAGCTATGATCCCTTATTATGGCAGACATGGTTGCAAGCAGCATATCAAGGGAAAGCCGATCCGTTACGGGTTCAAGTCATGGGTTGGAGCTACACGGCTAGGATACGTGTTGTGGTTAGAGCCATATCAAGGTGCCACAACTATGTGTGACCCAAAATATAAAGAATTAGGCTTGGGTGCTAGCGTAGTACTGACATTTTGTGACGTTTTGATTTCACGTGGATTTGATCTTCCTTACCACATTGTTTTTGATAATTTCTTCACTGGAACGCCATTGTTAGAGGAGATAACTAAAAAGGGTTTGCGTTGTACTGGTACGATTCGAGAAAACAGGACGTCTAACTGTCCCCTTGTTTCTTCGAAGACATTGAAGAAAAAGAAACGAGGTGTTTTAGATTACAGGACCACCCATGACAACAAGTTCATTATCGCTAAATGGCATGATAACAACATATTCAGTATTGCTTCCAACGCTGTCGGAATACATCCCATGCAATCTGCAAGACGGTTCTCGCAAAGAGAAAAGAAGAACATTGTCATAGAGGAACCACATATTGTTGCTATTTATAACAAACATATGGGAGGAGTTGATCGGTCTGATGAAAACATTTCTCATTATAGAGTTGGCGTAAGAGGCAAGAAATGGTACATGCCATTACTAACACACATGATCGATCTTGCCGAACACAACGCATGGCAATTATATAAAACAACTCACGGAAAACTCGATCATCTAGGTTTTCGCAGGAGGGTGGCAACAGCTTTGATCGAATCAAACAGAAAAACCGGAAAACGAGGGCCAAGTCGACCCTCTCAACACGAGCATGCTGACAGTAGAAAAGACCAAACTAATCACTTAGTCATTCCACAAGCAAAACAAACTCGCTGCCGGCAATGCCATAAAAAAACATTGACCCGGTGCAAAAAATGTGATGTTGGAGTATGTGTCAAATGTTTTGAAAATTATCATTCTTAACAAAAAAACAAGTTCATTTATAATATCGACCGATTCACTCAATAAATACGTACAATAAAATAAGTTTTATAATTGTCAATATAATGCCTATTCTACTACCTATTATCCTACTGTCCTATATATAGGACGTGTCTTTCCCTGAAAGCCATGCACTGAAAATTTTTTTCAGGATTTTTTAAATATATTTTAAGACATATTTTACTAAATAAATGCAAGTTATGTAATGTATGTCATGAAAAATAGTTTCAGGCTTATCTGGGTTAAAGTAGTAAAACCACTGTCGCCAGCGCTCTCATTTTACTATTTTCCACGTTTCAATGCCTATTTAATCTATAAAATACTCACATACTATACAGTTTGGGGCAATATTATTATGCTCCCAATATTTAACCTTCTGATAGGAATATTACGACAACATAGTACCATATTCGTACTTGCATATTAGCTACGCGCGTTACAGTATTATCATTTATGCTCACCATGCCTTGAAAGCAATTTAGTTCTGCAACATGATTGTCAATCCAAGTTTTTAATCGTTGGATGAGAGACGATTTGTAACTGTGACTATATTTGATAGATAACATAAGTAGACAGGCTAAATGCCCGGTGCGTCATTGAATGTTTTCACTTTAGTCGAACTAAATGTATTTTTAACGACGCTCGTGGCTGCGTCGTTTTACGCGGTATGACGAAGAGCGACGGAACGACGCAGTGTGTCCATCTCGCGTGCCGTACACTTGACATTGTGAGCTAGCTATTACTGTGTTTCCATCTTTCGCGCTATTGGCATAACTCACTCATTATGTCATCATACTTCCAAGGCCTTATAGCAAATACAAAACCGATGATTAACATTCGCGCTCGGAAACATAAATCGCCTATCACAAGACCGTGGCTAATGACTTTCTTTTCCTGAAGAATGTGTAAAAGATAACTAGTCTAGTCTATAATAGAATATTTAGTACGGGGAGCGAACTAATAAAGACCAGCAAAGCGTATAAGGAAAGTTTGGAAGGTCGAATTATCGGAAAGCAGCAAGGCCGCACCACGTGGTGGAGGCTGGAGGCTGAGATTACGTAACGTTGCTGCGAGAGACGACCTCGGTAAGGGTGATTTGGCCAAGGGCGGGCGCATCGATCGGAGCGGGAGGGAGCGCGCCCAGCGCCCGCCACCCGGTTGACATCTCGGCGGTTGTCGCGTCCTCGCACCACTCTCGCCCTTCGTCCGCCTGTTGCATAAACACCCTCCACCGAACCGAAAGCCTCTACAATTCCTATAATAATTTATTGGAAAAGTCATCAAGACCGTCGTCTTATTGAGGCCAAAGATAAAATAAAGATAATTTTTCGCCTCATAAATGAATATTTTGAATTACCAAATATCTTTAAATCATTTTCCTTTAAAATTCTTATTTCGATATTCTTCATAAAACACAGTTGTTAAATTTGATGTAAAATGACTATGTACGCGAAAATATGTAAATTGAATTATTAATATATTGAACAAACTGTGTCCTTAGTAGCTTTCTATTGTGCTTAAGTAATTAAGTGTGTAAGATATAAAATTCGGGAATCCGGAAGGCATAAAAAATTAAACATCTACTTTTACGTTTGAAGAGTTAGCAATAAAAATAGCTTCAAGTTTCCTGAGAATTGCTCCAACAACGCGAAAAGTTGATGAAGTAAGTTTACCCACTTCTTAGACGCACATAACGTTTCTTGAAATGTTCAATAATGTGTAAAAACAAATTAAAACCTGTATGAATTAGATACCTAATTTTGTGTTTTCTGTCTGGAACAAGCCGTAGGCAAATTGACGTAAAATTATTTGAGCAATTGGTGAGTAGGACATAAAAATGGGAAGGCTGGCACTGCCAGGTGCTACATTAGATTGTTTGGCTTCGGGCGCCTAACGTGATTAAGCCATTCATGTATTTTCGACGTACACATTTATGATAGGCATGCATGACTCATTTCGATGAAATAGTATGTAGGTATGTGGTTTTCGCCGTAACACTTGCCAGTAAATTAAACATTCTTACTTTTTCTGTCAGCGAACGTGATGTCTCTTGCGGGGGCGAATTTGACGAACATTATTTATATTACCATCTACTTTATTTCGGGCATCGTACATAATAAAAATGTATCAATATTATTTTTACATTCTACGGCTGGGTTCTTCACATCGTTCATTTATTTGTGAATTCGGCAAATACTGGTCATGGTTAATTACCAAGTTTTGAATTACTGTGCAACTACTTTCTCTTTTTCAAAAACATAAACCACAGCGGAAACCACAGTGATCTAAATAAATAACAGGCCGTTACATTCTGTCCACCATTGTTGATGTTTATTTGTTTCCATCATGTAATCTTGTCCGGAGATGCGTCAGTAATACTTCCATGCGGCCAAGGCCAAGCGTGCGGGCGCCGCCAATGAATGGAGGCGCGTTCCCCGTCATCGTCTACCACCTATTATTAGCATAGACGTCGGCGTGACGTTTATCTATCATCCTCACACTTTCCACCCGCTATCTCCACCGCGAAGGAGGTGAACCGCAATATCCATCATGTTAACCCGTATGCGAGCGATAACTGTTACCACGATATAATGATGAATTGCCTCGTTTCGATTAGGTACATTTGTTAAGATTATGAACGAGATTCGTGTTCCATTGCCTATGAACTTGTGCTTAATTAGTGATTTCTTTTGTTTTCAGAACCAAAGAAAGACAAATTGGAAAATGGTGGGGAGCTGATGAGGCCCGAGCGGCCCAACTCCTTGACTGCAGGGAAACATCCAAGGCGGATATGCTATCAAGGGGACGTAGGTAAGTGTTTGGCAAATTCACCCTTATTTAGCTGCAGCGTTTCCAAATCCGAACAAATTAAAACAGTCCCGATGGAGTTTTATTCGCCGGGAACCTTATCCAATTCTATTATAAGTGTCATTATTTAACATGTTCACTACATATGTGTCACTACATATAAACGAACAGAGGTTAGGCCTTCTGATATGCGACGCGCCGGTTACTCCCGTAAAGGTTTATAATTTTTTGTTATTTAGTGCGATAAGCTATCGTAATCAGACTTCTGAATTTCGATTGTATTCTTCTGTAAAAGTTATTTAAATAAAAGATCTCATGAGTTAGGTTTGGTATTATTTGGTACTGTTAGCGATTGTGCATGCAAATGTTTTAAGGCTTTTTAATCAATTTACAGTGAGCAACTATGGTGAAAGCGCGGAGGCGGGCGGCGGGAATGGCGAGGAGCCACTGGTGCTGTCAGAGCTGCCTGAGCCACCGATCGCAGTCTCGGAGATCGGCCCCATCCCGCCGCCACCAATGTTTTCCTCCCCCAGTCCCACACGCCACCACCATCTTCATCCCCCACATCACCACCCGCCGCATACTCTCTCAGACTGTAAGTCTTTATTAATTGGTCATTTACTGTAACGTCTCGAAATCCGAAATGTTTTCGGGCCATTCTCTTATAATATTTGTCATCGTGGCTCGCTTTACAAATGTGGATCTCGGATTCTACCTGTCCTCCCTAACGTTTTGTGATATTACAATTTGTACAATATTTTATCAACGAATACACACGCCCGCGCAATAGTATATTTACAATAATAACGTATATAACGTAAATAATAACGTGTATATATATACACACATACACTCTATGGTATGATTTTAATGTGGTGCAGCTGAAGATGAGGATGACCAAGACGAAGATGAGGCGGAGGGTTTAACAATGGCGGATACTTCTCGCGTGGAAGAGATACCGCCTAAGGAGCCACTGTTCAACGCTGTGCCCCTCAAGTCGGCGCTCAAGAAGCGGCCCGCGCCTTCCGCTTCCCCCGCCAGCACCCCGCTCGCCACCCCACTGCAGCCGCGCCAGGATCACCACCACGCTAGCTTCAAGTCAGTACCAAATGTTACAATATCACTTATGCAATAAGCAATCAGTTGCAGTTACTAAAATAAGTAATATTTTGGTCGGAAGTTTAACTCTTCCGACTTAGTCGAAGTCATTGGTCAATTTTAAAGGTTAATCGATCATTGGCTAACCGAACTGCGTTTCAATAAAGCAAAATGCATTGATTTACAAGTACTGTAGAAAAGCTGTAGTAACGTGTGAGATTTTGTTTTGAGACGAGTGCTGTAACGCCGTAACACATGCTTTTAAATGTAGTGTTTAAACAACTAGAGCCCTGAGTTTGAGGGTGAGGAGGCTCTTCCTCAGCAGAAACACACACGACATTGTCATTCTCGAGTTTTTCAAATAGCTTTTTAATTGTGATTGGTTTGTGGGCGTGATTGTGAAATTGTTTTATTTCTATTATGCGCCGCCGAGCAGACGGCCGCCGCCCAAACCGAGGATCCGCATATGGTAACAGTCTCACGTTATCAATGTTGTCGAACGCCATCTCGCAGAGGCCTCCCGACGGTCCGCTTGCCTTCAGACCATGCATCGTGCATTGCACGCTTCCGACTATCATCTCTGTCTTGATGTTTTCTTATTTCATATATCTAATGCCCTCACGACTCCGCTCTGACAATTGACACCACCATACTGACACTGCGACATTACTAATTCACGGGTTCTACACTTCATACCATAATGGAGCAAATTTAAACGTAACGACACACATAACCAGTGTGACGAATGCGCCTGAGTAATAATTACAACGACAAATTTAGTGTATAGACTACATGAATCATTTTATTAATATGAGTTGTATGAATGTTATTATGTTTATGTCTTGTATTATGATATTTAAGCTCTGTTGTTATTCGATGTTGCATGTAAATGTAATGGAAGTTATATATAAATGTTCATAGCGAATGAAAGTCGTTACATATATGTTTATGTATCTAGTTTATGGTATATGTATTTTTTATTTACTAATTGGTCTACATATATAGATGTTTTTTTGATTATTAAATTTATTCTTCTTAGTTACAAAGCTGATTAGATTAAAATAACCGTGATTGTAATTACTGGTCACAGATCACCATCAAAACCTACTATTGAATTTTAACATTGCACATAAAAACCAAAGAACAACATTGTGTGTGATCGTGAAGATGCACTTCCGAATATAATCTTATAACCGGGTGTAAACGTATTGAGCTTTATTTTCTTCAATAAAGGAAACTTCCTTTATTGATTAAGTATTTGATTATACTTTAACATTGTATGTCATGTCTCTGTCGCGGCTTAATTACGCACGCGCAAAATTTTTTGGTCGTGTGTAGTACAAACACGTAAAAAGTAAAACACCCACATGCTCTTTCATTCTAATTTGTCACGATCGAGCTTAGATTTTTCCTTCTAGATTAGTTCCTACTTTAATAGTCTTTGTACAATAACAGCACTCGACCGGTGCGGGTTGGCAACACACAACACGACAACAAGGAGAACGCGCGGCCGTGGGAGAACGAGGACTCGTACTCCAGTGAGTCGGACCGTGTCGCCGCCAAGTTGGCTCGGAAAGAAAGTCTCAACATCAAACTTGCGCTGCGTCCCGACCGACAGGAACTCATTAACAGGTATTTTCATACCTTTTAATAGATAATAGCGTCTTACAGTTACGATTAAATATTTCATCACGAGGTGGATTGTCCTCAGTTGCTTCAAAAATTCAAATTACGTGTTCCCGTAAGGTGTCCTCGTAACAAAATTACTCCATTTAGTGTTCCATTTCGCAAAACCGTATCTGGCTCAAATTTGCCAGTTGCAAGCTTATGTAGGACGGTAAATAATTACAGTAACATTATTGATATTCACTATGACTCTCCTCTCAGGACTCGTAAAACAAATTTTAATTTATTAAGTTCAGTCAAATAATTCAATCGTAAAATTATTGCACGCATCAATTTCTAATCATATTGTTATTTGTCAAAATTTTACTTAAACATACTTAAGTTTTAGTGCATGTTGTGTTTACCTTTTTTTTATAATATCAAGTGACAGGACGAACAAGTCGTGCGCGTGATGGTAAGCTACACGTCTGTCCATAACAGATGCAGTGCCACTCAGAGCTTTAAATAACAAAGATTTGAGGGGCACTGCCACTGCGCCCGTCACTCTAGACATAAGTTGACAAGTCTGTCTCCATGTGCCTGTAATTTCACCAGCACCCTTACCCTTCAAAACCGGAACACAGTAATGCGGACATTACTGCTTGGCGGCAGAAATAGGTAAGGTGGCAGTACTTCCCTGGACGAACTCATTTACAAGGAGCTCTACTGCTACTAAAATGTAGATGTAATTGCCATAAACACCTCTTAAGTGTTTATGGCAATTACATCGCTTGTAAAGGTATGAAAAGATATAAAAAATAATAATGTACACAGACGTTGGTAAACCCAATAAATAAATAAAATAAAAAATAAAAATTACTAGTTGTGGTAACGGCAATAATGTTTTTAAATATTTTTGTTTTGCCGATTCTTTATTACAAGTATTAATCCCCTTAAAATTCCGCCATGTATCTTGAACTAGTTTGGAGACGTATTAAAATACAGGACATTAAGTAGTCTTTTAGTTTTTATGATAGTTACACATGATTGAAATGATGTTTTTTACTGGTTCCATGGTTATGGCTGACTGAGTCAGCCGTAGCCACGGGACCTGTAAAGAACCCATTACTTTGGTTTGTGTAAAAAAATTATATCCTTTTTAAGAAATGTTAATATTAAAAAATTTGTGACTTAATTTTTTACCATAATATTAATAACATTTCTTCCCACGTGATTACTAAAATTATCAATTGCATGCCAGAGTCATTGTTTTTAAATACAAATTCTAATTCTTCAAATAGTAAACAAAAGTTTTCTTTTTATCCTAAAATGATAATGTCATGTGACCTATTAACCGATCCAGTAATACAAGCCGTGATGCCAAAAATAAAATTGAGTCCAACGAGCGTCAATTCAACGACTCAGTGACTTGAATGTTCCCAGTTCAATATGTGCGACGTCGCCCTCAATATAAAACAAACTCTCAGTGCTAGCAGGTTCACTCCTACACTATTTTAGCACCTCAGATTGTTCCCTTATCACAAATTACATGTGAATGTGAATAGTAAACAATCGTAAATATTATTGCGTAACAAATATTTAATGGCAGTAAGTTGGCATCACAGTTAAAGAGAAATAATATTTTTGGCATCACCATTTTGTAATAACTCAAGTAACAGTGATTAAATTAAGGCCTAGCATATTGTTGAAAGTTGTTTCAACGTAACTTAAGCAAATGTGAATAAGAATGCCAGTAACCGTCATCGTACAGATGAGATTAAAGAAAGAAAGGAACGTTTATTCAGCTTAAAAGGATTCAAACAAAACAGAATCTACAAAAGAAATTAATGATTACATGTACTTATAAACTGAAAGGGATGCAACTCAGCATATGTCACAGCTCGCCTGCAGTAACACTGGTTTTCAGTTGAAATCGCTTACATAAGATGAGATGGCACGAAGTACTAGTGTAGTTAACACTAAAATTATAAAATATAATTATTAATACAAAGAACACTCAAAAAATTCCTTCGATCCGGCCGGATTCGAACCGACCTCTTCTTATAAAATATAACTTAAATTTTAACTTTTAGTTACAAACAAGTAGAATCAGTACAGAGTATTAAAAAACCGATCTCAAAATCATCCCCTATCATATCTATCATAAATATATCATAAATTATTCATCCCCTAGTTTGCCATCCTTAGAGGTGGAATATTTTTTTCAAATTTAAGTGGGAGAATAATCAAAATCGGTTCTCGAATTATCGCGTAACATACATACAAAAAAACATACAGTCGAATTGAGAACCTCCTTCTTTTTTGAAGTCGGTTATAAATAGTACAAACAATCATTATATTATATTAGTACAAATTAATTTTGTTTAAAAAATATTTTAGTTTCGGCTTCTTTTGTGTTAAAAAGTATGCTAGTTGTAATTAATTTAATAGAAATAAGTAGTTTAGTAAAAATTCGAATCATGTGATTTAAACACAAGTAGTAGCAGTGTACGTTTGTTCCGCTCACGAGAATATCGCTTATCGGTACTCGCGACTAGCCTGGGAGTGCTAAAATAACTCTAGCGCAAACTGAAACATCGTAATTGACGGTTTATTTCTTCCGCCTTCCGAAAGCTCGAGTCGCTCTTGGCACTGACATTGTTATTTGCACTCTCGAGTTATTGACATTGTACACGCCCAGTGTTTCAAGTTACAAATTATATTTAGATTTACTGGAAAATTCTGTAGGTTTCATCGCATTATTTCTTTGGCTATTGAAATAGTTCCTTGTATCTTTCACAAAAAAGATAGTTATTAATTGGATAATTAAAACTAGTTTAGATAACGCGAGTTGGGAGATCGCCAACACCTTATGTTATCTGTCCGTTATGAAAACATTTTCGGCGTCATATACGAGCTTTGGCAAATTTTATGTTGTCCCCGGTCAGTTGGCAGAGCGCGTGTGCAAATGGGAATGACACACTTTATTGTTAGTATACTGCATCACCTTCAAGAGAAAGTTACGCCTGTGTCAGTGCTCTACACATTGTGCTGTACTTAATTAAAAATTGCGTGATGAATTTTTATAATTCGACGAACCAATTATCGATTTATTACTACATCATCATACTAGGTAAAAACTGCGTCATCGGCTGTAAGTTATTTCGTGTTGTCATTTAGCCTCGTTTTATTACGTGTGGCCAGATTTTAAACTAATTTTCCCTGTTAACTATTCCTCGGTGATTGCGACCAACAAATCACTTAAATTTGAAGTTTGTCGCCACTTTATAGATGATGTTATTTTAGACCTTTATGTTAATGGAAAACTTTTTTATCGTGCATTATATTAGTGTAGCACGCTACGACCTTTGTTAATTCCATTGCAGGCTGACATTCCTATTGTAATGAAAACAATAGTTATGTAGGACATAGCAAAACTATTACTACTGCACTTTTGTGTTTTACGTTGGTCTTTTTCTATACAAGACGTGCATGCGATATGTTTAGGCATTTATTAACAAACTAATTTGCGTTGTAAAGCAAAACTGTTGCTTTGGAGTGTACTTGGAGTTCGTTGTCTCGTTGCATTAGTTTGTATTACCGTTAAATGAAAAGTGTATTGACAAGTTATCTGGAAACCATTTCAAAATTTGGTGTGTGAAACACATTTTTTATTTTACGTGTGTCTATATTTATGCATCGTATTTCAAAATACCAAAAATTGTCAATTGACCGTCATCTAAGTTTGATCTGATATTCTTAATTTAATTTGATATTCTTGCGAATTGTCAGGAACATCCTGGTGGTGCAGAGCGAACACGAGCGGCAGGAGTCGTGGGAAGCAATCGGCGCGCGTCTCATCCGCCGTCTGTCCATGCGGCCCACCGCAGAGGAACTTGTAGAAAGAAATATACTCAAAAGTAAGCACAAATAACCCTATTAATACAGATCAAATTATCTCATGTAGCTTTGTCGACGCTGAATCTGACCAAAGGCATATCTGTGATATATTTTTATATAATGAATATATTTTTCTTATATTTATAATTTTCATACGAAAGTTTTCTTAAGTATTTTTAATGTTAACTGGTTAATATGGTAACACTTGCTGCTTGCATTTACAATAACTGTATTGAAACGTAAAATTGCTATATGACATTGGATACGAATCAGTGTTGGCTCGTGTGCCAGATATCAATCACTTTTCAGTATTAATTGCGATATAACAAATTAATTTTGGCACGATAGATTTATTTAGTAGAATAACAGTCATCTCCTGACCATGTAAATGTAATTTGGAGGGCAGTCTAAAGATCATAGTGAAATTGGCAACACACACCACTTAAACACTCGTTATGAAATTCGAACATAACGACTGTTTGTTGACCCACAGAATGAGTGTTGGAAAATAGTATTAGACATTTCATTTTGAACTTCAAGATAGAAGATAAGCTCTTGTTAGTTGTGTTTCATTTAATGAAATTATTTAAGAACATATTTGTTGTGGTTCAAAAGTTTTAGCAAGTAAATTTTAAATTTCGCTACAGGTCAGTCCCCTGCTGAAGAGAAGAAGCAGAAAGAAGAGAAGAAACGGTACCTTCTGCGCAAGCTCAGCTTCCGGCCTACTGTCGACGAGCTTAAGGAGAAGAAGATTATCCGTTTCAGCGACTACATCGAGGTCACACAGGTCAGCAAACGCATGTTATCTGTTCAACACAAATCTTATCTGTTCAACCTAAAAAATTGTCGACAAGAGAATTTTGAGCCATGCTTAAAAATAACAATTTTCTACTATCGACAATACGGATATTGCCGCCTAAAGTCTTTACCATCGCAACCATTTCAGTGTCCAAAAGTAATGTGTCAGCACTAAATTAAACCAATAAGAGCTATCATAAACCTCTTCATTTAAGCCCGTTCATTAGAGAATATAATATAGCTCTTAATGTGTCGCAAAGTATCCAGTGAGAAATTGTGTCGACATTATTGATAATAAACCTGTTCTTAAAGTTCCATGATCAAGTAATCGAAACGTATGTTTCAATATAGAAAATTGCCAATGAAAACAGCACAATATTGTATTATTTCATAGTTACGGCGATTTTAATGTCCATTGGATAGAATGAATGTGTAGGGGGTTGGCGTAAAATTTTATGACACCGAATTTGGGGTATATGTCATCGTAGGCACTACGTCAATCTTGTTTTATGTTGTGTATGTTTTATATCGTAATAAAATTTAAGCTGTTACATCTATCGCGTTTAATAGTCTCTATAGAATTATTGTCGAGTATTTGTTGTCTAACTTTCGCCAACATAAAAGACAGTAAATTTTTTCTCTTTTATGTGCATTAGAATACAATATAATGTATACTTTAAATTTTTTTATGGAATTTCTATAAGCACACATTGTAAAGGTTTCCTTTACGTTTTGTTACTACTATGTATTTGTCTATTTTATTTCTTTAGGAGAACCACATTAATTCATATCATTAATACATACAATTTCTGAATGGAATAAATACTTTTTGTACCTATAATCTTTCTTTTTTGACGACGGAGTAGTTTGCAGGGTTGCCAGTTTTCACAAAATTTTAAAAAGTCGTGTAGTTGTTGTCGACAGTTTTATCGATAGATTTTGAAAAACGTTAAAATTTGGCCTAACATAACTGCATCGTGAATGTTATGACGTTATAATGACTACTAATTGCTTTATTGCTATCTTTATTCTTATTTTGACACTTGACCTCCTAGTACCGAAATAAATTTTTATTCTTTTACATTTTAAGAAGAATAAGCAGGTTTGATTATCTAAATTGAATTAAAATGAAATTTTTAAACACATCTCCACTTTGCATTTATCGTAGACATGTTCTAAAAACAGTCTATGTATGAACTTACAAAAATTGACATTTTAAATGAACCTGCCCTCACTAATTGAACGAATGATAGGCCGACGACTATTTTTTGGTTATTTATTCCATAAGCGTGACCTTCAATCGAGAGTCGATAGAATATTTATCGACCGCAATCACTAGCTTCTTGCAAGCGAGCAACACTTGCGTAATGAACTGTCATTTTACTCCGTTTTCAAAAAAGACAGACTACAGTTGTTTTGGAATAAAAATAGTTTTTAAATTTATGTTATATTGTGTTCTATACGTCTACCCAGGCGCACGATTACGACCGCCGTGCGGACAAGCCGTGGACGCGACTAACGCCACGTGACAAGGCTGCCATCCGGCGCGAGCTCAATGAGTTCAAGAGTTCCGAGATGGCGGTGCACGAGGACAGCAAGCACCTCACAAGGTAAACTAAAACTTTGATTGTCTCTATCATGTATTTGTCTTATTTGATTTGTTTATTTTTATTGAATATCATGTTTTTACTACCGTGATATTCGTATATTTTTCTGTGAAAATTGTCTACTAGTTTATTATTATTATTATTATTGATACAAGTATCGTAGCCACGGTGAGGCAACAGACACTGGTTCGAGTTCAGATGGATCGAAGGAACTTTTCTTTTTTGTGTCTGTTCGATTTTGGTATCAATAATAATAACAAACTAGCGGAGTATTTTCAGGAAAAAACATTTGATTTGATTTCTTAGATTGTATTGGTTGACTGTCCAGTTAACATAAACTTGTCAACTTAAACTTGACCGAACGGTTACAGGACTGATTAATGGCGGTATTGTTTGTTTTGACCAGATTCCATAGACCATGACGGCTGTGCCTTAGACCCAGACAGGACTGCACAGAGAGGGCGCGCTAGTGGCGCTTGAGCAGCTGCGACGTCGGCTGCTCGCTCTTCCCCAGGCGGCCGCGCAATCCGCGCCATGCCGGCCACACCTGTGATTTTACCGTTATATATTGACTTCTTCTCGCTCCGGAAGATTCGTATACAATAACTTATCACACATCGGTAAAGTGTTGGACATTCTAAACTTGCCGTTTCGACGTTACATTTTTTTACGCGTATCGACAGTGAAATCTTATTATGATTTACCTATTACGACGTAGTTATTGCCGAGTACAATTATTATTATGGTATCGTTTATGTTAAGTTGATGTATTCTGTAAGCGTACCTATACATTCTTTTGATTGACCTTCGTGAAAGGTTAGTGATACTGATTATTGTTGGAGATAGAGCCTAGCGCTCAAGATGTGAGATTTGCGAGTGAGTCCTTCAGATGCGACGCGTACCCATCGTAGGATTTACGCCGTGTACACTTGTGATTTTTTTCTTATATTGCTAGCTCTTAGCGTCGTAGTCATTAAGCTAGATTCAATTTTATTCGTATTTATTTCACGTTACATTTGTATTTGCGGTCACAACTTCTATTTTAAAGTACTTTCATGTTTTATGAATTAAGATATTATTGAAATCATTTTACTCAAATAATTAGCCACGTGTGAGATAGTTCGTTTAAAAAAATAAGAATACAGGTACTTTCTGATTACCGTACTTGTGTTGCTTGTCCACGAATTGAATTCCAGCTCTCAGCACCTGAGATACTGCCACAGATTTTCAAATCTATCTATGGACTCGTCAAACGGTCAGGTGTTTAGATAATTCGATGGCGTTATGTCTGTTATATACTTACTAAAACTTTAATAATTAATGTTTGACGAAATATGATACGCCCAAAGTAAATGTTAGTTTATTATTCTAATGACATAGTTGAAGTTCCCTGTTGGCTCTAAACTATTGGACTGACTTTGAACAAACGACAAACGTGATTTTATATGTTTTCCATAGTTGAAATCCCGAGTACTTAAGAATTATAAAGAACTTCGAAGTCATCGTAGCAATTTGAGTAGATAAAATTTATTTTTTAAATAAGGGAATAGGTGTTATATTGGTAATAAAAGTGTTAACGATCAAGGTTGTCCTCTCTTCGATTTGTCCAGACTCTTATTAAATCGAGTTAATTGTGTTAGGAGTGCTTCCAAACAGAAATGCTGTGCAACATAACAATAAACTTTTTAGTACGGGTCGAGGGGACCCACTTTTTAAACTAGCTACTTATATGTTTATCAGATGAATTACGTATTAGTGTGCACAAATATTAGTTTGCTCAACTTAGGCCAAATTATACATATGTATTGTATTGTATGTCCATTATTCTGGTACAGCACTAATATACCACCTATAATCTCTCGTCACTCCCATTGTTTTAGAGTATATTCATTATTGTACAAAGAAACGAACTTTAATGCCACAAAGTTTGATAATTTCCGTAGCATTATTAATCCCTCGTGTACGTATGGAAAGCTAATCGATGGGATAGTTTGTGTTTGTGATAATTTGCTAAGGCAATTGGTCCAGTAATGCAATTCCGAAGTACAGGGAAAGCCTCGGTGATCGTAAAACGCACTAATAGGTCGGTGTTGTTGTTGATGTCGGCGCAGAATGTCATCCGTGGTAGGTGCGCACGCACCCAATGGTGGCGCGCGCGCATTTAGTATTTTGATTATAGTGAACACGCCATGAACGAACAACGCGACGTGATCGACAAATGAAATCTTGATTTGCTGTTCATTGTGATCGAGTATATTTCTCGCGGTCTATAGTGGTATTATAACAGCACGGCCATCCTGTACGACACGAGCAACCTCGGCGGGAACAACTTGTTATTCATCTGTCGCTCTAGCCTAGAACTAGCGTAAGTTATTCAAAGTTGAACGAAGTATTGAGTAAAGGACTAAATACTATTAAGTTCTTATAAAGCTGTAGCTGTTATATAAAATTATACGTCTTCTGAGATTACATGAAAGATTATTTGATAATGGTAATGTTGATTCACAAAGCTATATTAGTAACTGAGCAATAATATAAATAAATCGGTATCAGTTTGTTTGATGTGACCTTGAGTTTGAGATTAACGTTGAAACATTTTTTACACGAATATATACATATAAGTAAATCTTTGTAGTGTAAACTCATAGATAGGAATCCGTTTAATATTAATCGTTTTTTATAAAAAGCAATGTATTGTTCAGTAGTGGTGCCATTTTGAGTGACGTGCTTTCAGAGGGCAATATCTGTCGATGAAGACGTCTTTGTCATTCGTATAGGAATCTTTATTATTCAAATAAATAACAGTTTGAGTCAATTTTGTTACACCAATTGACAGTAGACGTATGTATTTAAAAATATTTATCCAGGCATTACAATTTATTATAAAAAGTTACATTAATATAGTCATATACCTACCTACCTACGTTAAGTCAGTGCGTAGTTACAGTACATTATGCAATTGTACGGATAGCAAACTACAAAATGTTAATAATATTATAATGGTTATTCTTGAGACCATTCCATTTTAGTGTAATAATATGGAAGCCAAAATGACGACTTATTTTTCTAAACGATTTTGTTAGATTTGCGAATAAAATATTAAGATAAAATGTAGACGTTTATCGATATTGTAATATGTAATAAGATATTCAGATTTCCAAAGATCTATGGCTCAACTAAATTCTTTTAGCTAGCTTACATCGCCATCGTTACAATATATATGCGTACCGCGATTGGCGGCTCGACGCACGTTGGCGGTCGACACATCACAAGCGTGTAAAACGTTAGGTATAAACCTTACCAATCAACAATTGTGATACGATTTTATTATTTAGTGTAATAGTATGTATTTTTCACGTATTTTTGTATTCTTTTTTATGCACAGGAATCGTTTTCAAATATTATTTAATTGCAGAGAGGTGCTAAGTAAGCATTGCGAGCGTTGTCGATTTATCGTTATTTTGATAAATATAACTTATGTATTTTAGACGGACTGCCGGGTTGATTCAAAATTACTATTTGTATATTGTCTTAGTTTTTTACGTTTAATATTTCGAAAGTAAAATTAAGGCGTTTCAAAGTTTCGAATTTTGACAACCAATATAATATTACTATAAAATCGGAAACTTAATCGTCTGTTTTAGTTATGTGCATATAATCATTATTATTACGTGCGTACATTATGTGTAGAGGATATATTTAACATGGCAACAAATTTATGTAATATTATAATGATTCTAAAGCAATTGTATCGATAAACACTGTTTTCATCACGTTTGTATATAATTTTAATGGTGTAAATTATGGAATCTCTTTTATTTCCATTTGATATCGCAAATATCATATGTGCTATTACGATCTATATAATTGCTATCTATGGTAATCTATTACTGTTGCTTTTATTTTGAATATTGTGTAAATTATTAATGACATATTATAATAAGTATATTTAATGATAGCCATAAAATTACTTGTTTTATATAACATAAGTTTGTAAATACCATGATTATACATTAAGTTTTATACTTAATTGTTTTTGTTTATCTCAATCCTGTCCTTTTAGACATCTTTTTACGAGCGCTGAGATAGGACAAAATTGCACGAAATTAAGATAGAAACAAAATATAGTCAATTTTAATTACGCCAGCGTTGGCGTCAATTAACATTAATAAAAGATAAAGTAGCCTTGAGCAATTATAAGCAATGGCATTTGTCTGCTATTACAAAAAAAAAAATGATTAAAAACTACATCTCGTTATATAGATACATTGTTGTGTAGATAGCATTGTTTTAGAATTGGAATCGAATATTAATAAAGGCTTTGACCCGCGAGGCTGCGGTGGCGACTTTCGTTGGCGCTAAACTTATGGTCGTGCGACTGGCTGAGAGAAAGTTAACTGTAGTGCGTGCCCGTTACCGCGGCGCAGGCGCAGATCGCAGGCGTTCATTCCGCCCCTGCCTGGCGAGCTCACCGCGCGACCGATACGGCTCTATACAACAAAGGCGCAATGTTTACGATTGTGCGATCCGGCAAAAGATAACCGAAAGCGACAGTGGTAAATGAAATAGTGCATTCATAAACCCGTGAATAGTGAACTGTGTTATTAACAATAATTACGTTACGGTCACAGTGCAGTGCACAGCGCTTAAACAAAGGATAATACTATGACGTTCTCTGGAAGTATGAAGGAGAGCAAGCCGCGAGGAAATGTGAAAGATTTATGGGAATCAGAGGTAAGTTGCTTCGATTTCTATCATTGTTTGTGGCGTTGATTTGATGCGCGCACGCCTGTGATTCACTGTGCTGTTATTGTTTTGAGTGAATTGTAACACTGTATGGTGTTTAGCTCATTATGCGTACGAGTTTAATTCATCGCTTTCACTCCATTGATTACGTAGTAATTATTCGTTATGATACTAACATATGACAATGGTTATTCAAAATGATTGACGTCAATTTGAATATAAACTTGGCTTGAGTAACGCATTAGTCGATAAAGTTTTGCAACTTAATTTAATGCTTAGATATACGAAAGCTTTAACCGCTGATAGTTAATATGAAATTACAAAAGTTTGACTAAGTATGCTTAAGTGTATTACACAGTATATAAACACATTTCAAGTTACAGAAATTGGCGTCTCGTGGGCAATTTTTTGACCTAACTTTTCTCTGCAAGGTTTTACATTATAGTAAGCTTAACATAAACCCAATGATGACTCAGATTGCTGAAAGCTTTCACGTTACCCAGTGCGAAAGATATTTTCGGTTCCCGTATCTTGACCTTTACCGCAGTAAGACTTCTTCTTTTCTTTCAACGACGTCAACTCAAACCAAGTTTTTTTTTATGATACAAAATGACAGGACGCCTGATTTTAAGCGACGCGCCTGTCCATTGTAGTTGCAGTGCCACACAGAGCTTTGAATCGCAAATATCTGAGGGGCGCTGCCACTGCGCCCGTCACCCTGAGACATAAGTTGACAAGTCCCATGTGCCCGCAATTTTTTTAATTTAAATAAAAAAAAAATTAATTATACATTAAAAATTTAACTGCCTCTGTGACGGAACGGTTACCATGCTGGACTGCCACGCAGAGACCCCGTGTCCGATTTACGGGTCGGGAGAAATATTTATATGGCCTACATTTATTTCTCTCGTGAGTTTGGGTGTAATTTGTAGTTATCTATGCCGGCTATGCTATCGCGCCGGGCTATCAGTGTTAAAAAAAATTTCATCAGCACCCTTACCCTTCAAAATTTGAATGCAGTAATGCTCACATTACTGCTTGGCGCCAGAAATAGGCAAGGTGACGACAGTACTTCGCTGGACGAACTCTTTCACAAGGAACTCTGTTGTTACTGAAGTTGACATCTTTCACGAAATCACGGCCCATAGTTATTACGTACAAATGAAAAGTAACGACTTCTGAGGGTTGTGTTCTGTTCAATGATTTTTAAGTGTAATAAAATAAGTGTTATTGATTGTGTTATAAGAGCTCGTACCAGTAGTGTCTTTTAGATAATAGTTTTTCTTATTTTGTGTTATTTTGTATGTATATTAAAAACCTAGATGTTATCTGTTATCACATGTTATTTAGCGTAATTGCTGTGTACGCCTGTGATGGCATAAGATACTGTACACAAAAATTAGTAACAGTGGAGCTTCTTGTGAAACAGTTCGTCCAGGGAAGTACTGCCACCGAGCAGAAAGTAATGTGAGCGTTACTGCGTTCCAGTTTAGAAGGGTAAGGGTGCTAGTGAAATTAAGTGCACATGGGATTTGTCAACTTATGTCTCAGGGTGAAGGGCGCAGTAGCAGGGCCCCTAAGACCTTTAAAATTTAAAGCTCTGAGTGGCACTGCAACTGTTATGGACTGGCATGTCGCTTACTACTAGGCCCACAACTTCTTCGTCCCATCACTTCGTGTTTTGAAAACACTTACTTTACTATACTTTATGTATGCGCTGATGATGTCTCTAAATAAATAAATAAAATAACGCAAAATTTATATTTATACTTATATTTTAATTTGGTATGTGTACAGCGCATCACATAATAAGATGCCTTTTTGAATAAACATTAATTTTATTAGGTTTGTTGTACTCGGTGTTTATTTCACTAATTTTGTTCAGCTCAGGAAAAGCGTCCGATTCTTTTCAAGTTGACCCTACCTATTTAAGTGAATAACGGACGTAATTACGTCGCCGTCATGGGTCAGGACGCGATGAGCCCTCCTATATAAAACGACTTGCAGTAATTGTATTCATAAATATATTGATGTGCAATATAGCACGGGAAACGGGAACACAAGTTACTAATTGAATTTCTGTTAATCTTATATTTCAGGGTAAAGTATGATAAACTGCTCTGAGCAAAATAAATCGTTTAGAAACATACATAATACTACTAAAACAAAAACACACATAATATTAATCTTGGCTATGAATAACACAATATGCTTAGTAGAACGATTTTTCTTTGTAAGTGTCGTTTACAAAGGGTATTGTCTTCTAACAGCAAAGTTATGTATGTACATACGGATAGCAGCTAATTGTTTATTTATGTACTCAACTTCACAACTGGCGGGTCCAAGTATGTCACATTGGTCTTATATTCGTGAGCAGGAAGTTAAGTCTCGCATAGATTCCGTGCATGTTTTCTGTCCTTGCTTAGCCGCTTGCGGTCGCCTCTCACTTATTGGTAGTGTCTACCTCGTATGAGAGACACAAGTATTAAAGGCAATTTGACACCGACGCCGTCACGGACTTAGAAATCGAACTAGTTTTATCTAGAGCAGGAAGTATCCTAATGAACAAAAACTCTTTTCGCGCTTTGAGGTTCAAAATTTTTATACCGACCAAATAAGTAACACTTAGTTGTTGTGTAGTGTAGTATGACAACTTTCAACGATGTTAATTCAAACGCAGTTGACGTCTTTCACAAAATCACGACTTGTATAATAATTTCAAACGGGAAGTAACGACTTGTAAGGACCGTGTTAATTTTTTTTTAAAGTTGAGTGTAAAGTTTTTATCAACGCTTTACGATGTAAATATATTCTATAACTGAATTAAAATTACTGCGCAGTGACTTTTTATGGATAATCAATGTTAATTAAGTAGTTCTAAAGTAGGCTAGTGTGTACATAGGGCAAATTAGAAGATTTCGTAACTATGAATTCAGGTAAATATCTGTACTACGTTTAATTTAGTTCAACCGGAAAACTACTAAAAGCCGTTGAACGTTTTTAAAATGCAATCTCACGGTGTTATCTATAGTAGCACCCGTGGTTTGTCAGTTTGTAAAAAATCACCGACGTTGGAAGCACCATTTGTACGACTTTTTTAAGAGACCTTGTAGTACCACCTTCAAATTGACCTTTGTACAGCTGCATCTTTATTAGTAAGTTTGTCATGAATGTCTAATAAGAAAGTTGTTATTAATCTACCTTATATATCTTCATAACTAGTTACAACTAAAATATTTATTGGTGACTTCACGTAATAGTTAAATGCCGTGATGTCAAAGTGTAATGTTATAAAACGTGTTCGATTAGAGTAGTAGTGAAACTGATTTTCATAAAACGCCAGATTAAAGATCACGTATTGCAGTACGTATATTAATAAAATGTATCTAAGTAAACATTTGATAATCATGTCTCTAATAGAACTAAGCGAAGCTTGTATGAGTATATACATAATAAACTTCTTCTAGAAATTTTCAGGGAGATAAGAAAGATCCAGTAGATAAGAGCGGTGGGTCGTTGCGTATTATAGGTGTAGGTTTTATGACACTAAGTGACAGGACGAACCAGTCGTGTGCCTGGTGGTAAGCAACACAGCTGTCCATAACAGTTGCAGTGTCACTCAGAGCTTTAAATCGCACATCGGCTCTGCCTCTGTGCCCGTCACCTTGAGACATAAGTTGACAAGTCCCATGTACCTGTAATTTCACCAGCACCCTTTACCCTTCAAAACCGGAAAGCATTAATGCTCACATAACTGCTTGGCGGCAGAAGTAAGTAAGGTGGCGGTACTTCCCTGGACGAACTCTTTATCACGAGGAACTCTAGTGCTACTAAACTAGGTGTAGGTACTCATTAATAAACCTTTCGCTAGGTATGATTTTCATGGTTAAAGGGAAGCGGGGCAGTTTGATACAGGGGGCACATTCATACACCATACGCATTATCTCCATACCTTGAAACATAATATTAGATGTGATAATACTAAAACGTGCCTTTGTACGTGTGAGTAACAGACATGCGACAGGTCACAAAGTGTTTTCTCAGTAATTGACAAAAAAAATAAGCAACATGCAACAACGAGTGCACTGCAGTTTTGTTCACTTTACAGAACATGCAGCAAGATTTTGATTGCTTTTCCCGATCGGAAACTACGTCTTTTCCAAGTCGAGGCGTATAATATTGCGGATGGGCTACCCGATCGGATCGATTCCGGTTTGAATTAAAATCAGGGCCCTGATGTCTTAATACAGGGTGACTTTGAGGGAATATATTTATAAAGATTTTTATTAAATATGTTTTTTTTCTAAACTGGCTGGTGGGGTACTTTTATACATTAATGAGTGGGACAGTTTGGTACGTATCAAAGTGCTCCTATTAATTACTTTGTACGAAAAATGTAAAACTGTTTCAACAAGTTATTGTAAAGAGGTGAACTAGTGACATTTTGTGCTATAGTCAGCTCTTGCTCCTGTATTTCTACTTCCAAGACTACATTACAAAGAACCCTTTTCAAATGGTGCCCTAGAAAGAAGTCTTGATCTAGCTGAGGCACATATAGCGGCATACTTTATGATAAGTTGATTACCTAGTGCTGATAATACTTGGCAACCAGTAATGGCACACTACTTTGATTCACACATCAAAGTACCCCAAGCGATATATGAAAGTACCACACAAGTGGCAGAATTGGACAATTCCCATTTTTTGTTAAAATCAAAATTTTTCTATTATTCAATGCTATTTATGAAAAAAATATTAAATGACTAATGTTTATCTCTTAAGTAGTAAAAATATTAATTATAATTTCATTTAGTAGCCCAAAATTGAAGTTAAAAAAAAGTGTATGAATCTGCCCCGATTCCCCCTTTTGGTTCAATATAAACCAAATAAATAGCTCTACGTAATAAGGTAATATATAATAAGGTCACATGTCCGAAATGACAATTTTCTGGAGAGAATTTTAAAGATTCTACGAATTAAATTTGTCG